AAAGCACCCTGCTGGGTCTGGGACTCTAACGGTGGTTGGTCAGGTGGGCGTCCAGTACTTTAACCACCATGCCACCTGCTGGTCCCAAGCCTACAATTTTTTTTTTTTTAAATATACTTTATGGTTTAGGATGAGGTAAGATGTAGTAAGCTTTTTCTTTAAAAAAAAAAAGGGGGGGAGTTAAATATGTTTAATTGACAAAAAAAATTGAAAGCTATTTGCTGATGATAATGTATATAGTAATGTCTTTGTCTTGACTGATATGCATGGTATTCGCGCTGGAAAAAGCAGTTTTACACTGTAAAGATATATGTGATTAAATGTAAATTAATTTTTTTTTTTGGAGAGGTTTTTGCTATAGGGCATGTGTGCTCGCCAGATAGACAGAGAGAGACAGAGAGATAGAAAGTGAGAAATCACCCCCCAGGGGGGATGGCCACGCCGCAATCCCTTCTCCTCCATTCTCCTCTCAGGATCTTGGGCACGCACGCACACGCGCTGGGTGTGAGTTTAAGCCACTGGGTCCGGGATGCGAACCACGGTCAACCACATGGGAGTCCAGCAACATAGCCATTACGCTAACTGCTGGTCCCTAAATCTAAATTAAAATCTTAAAAAAAAGTTTTAAAAGAGTGGATTGTTAGAAGGAAAAGTATTAAGTTATCAGGCCAATGTATGAAGGTATGGCAAAACATCACACCAATGGCCAACAGCTGAAGTTGGGAAGGTGCCAGTGCAGGGCACGGGATTATGGCCACAGAACTCTGTTCAAATCCCAGCTGTTGGTCAGATTTAAATAAATACATAAAGTAATTCTTAAAAAAATGAAGAAGAATGACTTTAACAAACAAACAAACAAACAAAAACATGGCTGTTTACTAGTTGCCTGGTCCTGGGCCAGTCCAACCTCTCTTTCCACTCCTGTGGGGTGAGAATAGCAGCTTATTGTGGGGTGCAGACTGCATATGGCACACCAAGCCCCACGACTCACTCCCTCTGCTGCAGTGTGTGATGAGGTGAGGGCCAGCCTGAGGGGCTACTTGGGCCCAGGTGGGGTGGGTCTGGAGTGGCCAGTCTGCACTTGGTGGAATGTGAGCTGTGGGAGCCGCAGAGGCAGCTATGGGGCTGGTCCTGAGCTGCAGCGGCGACCTGGTTGCCATGGAGCTGCTGGAAACAGATCAGGCAGCGAGCACTGGCTAGATGGAGCAGGGTCTCTCCCAGAAAGCCGAGCAGAGGGCAGGGGCTGGGAGGCTTGAGAAGGGATTCTGCCAAGATCTAGGGTGGAGAGGTCTCATGGGAGCATTTAAATGCAGAAGTTCTATGGGTAAGTGAGGCAGGGACGCCAGGAGCCCCCACTGGCCTGGACCAGAAAGGCCCAGCTGGCAGCCCAGGCCTGCATGAGGGCAGACCAGGTAGTGTCACATTGAAGAGCCAGAGTTCTGGGTCACATGGCCTGGGGTCAACCCCTGCCCCTTCCCCAAGCAGTAGTTTCTGTCCCTATAGTGTGAGGTAGTAATTACGCCCACTCCATGCACTGCAGTGAGTGTGGAGTGAGGCCACACATGTAACACATTTGGGACTAGACCAGCCTGAATCCCTCACAAGAGTCCTCTCCACTGTGTCCCCAGTTCCTGACACAGCACCTGGGAAACGAGAGGCACTTAGCACATTTTGGTTAAAGAACGTCTAAGTGAACTTTCCGCCATCAGCCAGGTCAGGCCTCAGTCGTGCTTAAGCAGAAGTGCTCATTGTGCTGCGGTTTAATGTCGAGAACGGAGCTTTTGGCCAGGAAGACCCAGAATCTGAGACAAAACGTGCCCCAGTGTCCCAGTCGCAGCTTCTCTGGGATGCTTCCCAGATGGCCTGACATCCGGCGTTTCCAGAACCACAGGCTCTCGGAGGAGGGCAGGATCCTTGCAGCTACGACAGTTTAACCACTTGGCATGCAGACGGGGCTCAGAGCGGCTGCTGACTTGTCAGAATCAGTAGCAGAGCAAGGACTAGAACCTGGATTGTTTGTTGCTAGCCAGAGCTCTTTCTCCAATGCCAGATGTCCTCCCTTCCAGGTGTCGTTTTTTGCCAGAAGCTGGATGAAGGCCAGGGACAGCTGGAGTCTCTCCTGTGGGAAGCCTTATTGGGTTTTGGATTTTGAATAGAATGGACACCTCTTCATAGACTCTGGAGGGTTGAAGGAGGAGAGAAAGTGTTCTGCAAATGGAAAATACCAAGCTAGGCCCAACAGAAAGCGAGTGCATGCTGCTGGTCCCTGTTCTGGGGGAAGAGAGGAAATGGCTCGAGTACACACCTGCAGGAACCCGCTAGAGGCCTGGGGGCCTGGGTCTGACGGAGACCTGACTGAGGAAGGAAAGTGTGGGGGAGGGAAAAGCTGTGACAGTAAGATAAGAAAGTTAGTAAGAAGCTGTGATATGGTGATATAATAAGAAGCATATATTTTGGTTTTCATCCGTAGTTTCTGGCACAGAATTCCTAAAATCTTTCTAAATAGAGATTCTGGGAGAATCTTTTGTTCTAATATTTGGGGTCTTGGATCTTGGTTCCTTATGCAGAGTTCCTGAGGTCTTTGTGATTTCCTGAGTGAAAGGAGCTTCTGACACAGAGTTCCTAAGTTCTTTGGAATTTTCTGAGTGATAGACATGTCTTTTGTTCTAATGAGGCCCCTCTAGGGGACCTCTGCATAGGGACTGGTCACCATCAAGGCTAAGTTTTGAAGCTTGGAACCTTTAGCCCCATCTCCCATCCTCTGGGGAGAGGAGAGGATCCAAAGGTTGAGTTCTTCGTGGCCTATGATTCAATCAACCATGCCTGACATCTCCATGGAAACTGAAAAGGGCAAGGTTTAGAGAGTTTGGTGGACACGGAGAGGTTCCAGGAAGTTGCCTCTTGGACAAAGCATGAATGCTCTATGTCCCTTCTCCAAACTCTGTCCTAAGCATCTCTTCCATCAGGCTGCTCCTGAGTCATATTCTTTTATGATGAGTGGGTAAATGTAAGTCAGGAAAGTGTTTGAGTTCCTGAGCCATTCCAGAAATCTGAGAATGGAGTCATGGGAACTTACGATTTATCGTCTGTCAGTCAGAAGTATAGGTGACAACCTGGACTT